GAATAGTCCGAATTTACATGTAATACATGATCGTACTGGTCCTGCGCGGCGTCACGCGTCGCGCAGCTACCCTAATTATAACACGCAAAATTGACTTTACTAGAGATTTTAAAAAACTCAAACCAATTGCTAACTTAATTTTATTTATTAAATAAATTTATTAAGATTTTTTTTTTTTTTTTTACCAGGAATGGAGTAATAATATCATGTATAGCATTTAAATTATATCACAAATTGTATATTTTTCATATATTATTGCAATTCTTGAATGTGTGCCAGGTTTGTGGCGCAGATTGTCTGAATCACGAATCAGATTTCAAGATCAGGTGCAACGTACCACGAACATGAAAATTCAAAACGAAAAGCCGTTTTGTCAAAAATTACTTATTTCTTGAAAATTGCATATAAAACTATTCTTCGCACACTAACAAAAAGTTTTCCTTGAATAATATTACTATATACCCTCATAACTTCTAACCACAATAAAAGCCTGACCTTAACCTAAAAGAACTTTAAAGAATTTTGATTGTCCATAATCCTGGCACACATTCAAGAATTGCATAAATTTATTATAATGACGCACCTTCACTCGGGGATAGTAGTTATTTCGGTCAAAAATCATTATTGTTTACTTAGTGGTCAAAATTTTCAAATTTTGGGGTATTTCATAATGTTTTATATTCGAATATTCATTTAATGAAGCAATTATATATTCGAAGATTTGAATATTCAATAAATATTCAAATATATTATTCATCGATTCAAACCTCTAAATTGGATACTATGCCGTAATTAATTATACCATATGGGTGCCGCCGCCAAGTGAAAACATGACATTCTAAAAATAGATTTCTATGGACAACGGAATGCCCATCTGACTAGAATAATAAAATTATATTGCTTTTTGATTACATAGTATTATTTAAAGTCTATTTATTTTTAGAATGTGGTGTTTTTACTTTACGGTAAAATGTAATGCAGTAATTCAGTAATTCTACTACCAACAGTAATGCTGTCTTTGAGAAATTTGTTCCAAACTCATTTGCATCCTTTCTTTTCAAATTTTCAAAAAATCATTATAGTCTTGCACTTAAATATCTGAATTCATCGTATCAAGTAAATAAAGTGGAGCTGATGACGTAATTTCACGTGAATTTACGAGTGCATCTATATTATCTTGATTATTTGAGGAAATTTCGCTATTTTGAGATGTTTCAAGATGGTGCGTTTCGTTAGGGATAAGTTGTTTTAAAGTATTTAATATTAATCTTGTTTCTGGGCGATTGGCAGGATCGTTGTCCCAACATTGCTTGTAAAGCTCAATATATTGTGATGGTGTACCTTCTATAGGTTTTTCTCTGTTTCCTTGGGAAATATGAACGGCGAGCGAAAATCCTAATTCAAAAGACGGGAATGGCGATCTTCCGCTCGAAATTTCCCAAAGAATTACTCCAAGGCTATAGACATCGGATTTCTTATTACATTTGTATTTGTGATCGATAAAGCATTTAGGGTCGATATATGCTGGGATTCCATAAACGATTGAATTTGAGGCCTCATACGTTTCATTTATCAACTTCGATAACCCAAAATCTGCAATCTTTGGTTGTCTCTGATGAATTAAGATGTTCTTTGAATGCTAAATGATTAAAATATCAGTAATTAAAATGTCAGTAAATTAATAAATATAAAATTAGCAAAATATATAATACTTACAAGATCTTTATGAATAATATCATTATTATGTAAGAATAGAAGTCCGTTTGCTATTTCTTTAGCAATATTTAGTTTATCTGTCCATTGTAATCTTGTAAAATTTGCTTTTAGATATTCTTGTAGATTTCCTTCATTAGCATATTCTAAAATCATATTATAATATCCGTTGTCATCTATTTATTTGCATCGGAAAAAAAAAAAAAATTTTCGTTTAATAATAATATTATTTGATACCCCAAATCTATAAAATGTTTACCTTTTGTGATCCCGTAGAACATAATAATGTTTTGATGGTAACAAACTTTCCGTAATAGCTTAAGCTAATTATATGAGTTATAAGAATTTATAATTCTGTAGTAGAATGCAATGAAAGTTTCAATTTAATAAATAATACCTCATGAATGAAATCTTGAATTGTTTTTTCATTTACATTTGTATTGATTCTAAGACATTTAAGAGCGACTGTTAATTCACTATCTTTCCACTTGTATTTGAAAACCTTACCAAAACCTCCAATACCGATCTCAATGGGGTCTGTAAGTGTTTTATATTTGAGATAATTAATATGCCCATCGTAAATAGCCTTTTCAAGCCACTCTTGTGATATTCTTGCTTCAGCTAAATAATGGGCGGAAGTTACTCGAATCTTTTGTTGAAGTTCTTCAGTAACTTTATTATTTTCATCTAATTCTTGTTGAAGAAGTCGAAAAGCTTCAGCCTGTTCAGAATCAGGAGATTGACTTCTAGCGATCAAATTTTGCTGCTCAATCAGTTCGTCCAATGCTCTTTTTTGAGCTTCGATCTTAGTTTCCAAGCGTTCAATATCGGTACGTTTTCTTCTACCATCTTTCTCGCTCTTCTTTAGCGCATACTCGAGTTCCTCGATTAACCTGTTTTTTGAGTGGATTTGCTCCTCATATTTTTTTTTCATCGACTCTAATTTAGCAGCCAATTCATCAATTTCCTTTTTAATCTCCCTCCTGCTAGATTGCCATGAATAATTGTCATCTGAGTCCATATTGCTTTCACTGCTTTGTTCACTTGTAACCTCGTCTGAAAGTTGATCTAATTTCCTATTATTGTCTTGTACCAAAGAAACAGTCGTAGCTAACACTTCTGCAATATCAATAGCTTGGTTAGTAGAGTGATTAAAGCTATTACTACTCCTTAATTGTCTTTTTGGTTGCTTTTCTTCGTCATATTTATATGGATGAGAATAATATAATTTTCTACTATCATAGTTTATATAATTATCTTTGTGTGATGTTAGTGAGGCAGCATCTGCAGAGGTAACAATTTTGTTTGGAGTGTAGACTTTCGGCGGCGAAAACAGATTATACTTCTCTTCTGATATTAAGGAATGACGTCGTGTTCTTGTGGGTGTTGGTGGTGGTGATTTTTTAGATATTGACGGTTGAGGCGAATTTGCTCGGATTATGGGATTATCTGTTAAATAATTCAAAATAATCAAAAGGAATTAATTGGATGAAATATAATAAAAAAAAAATATAACATAAAGACCGAATATATATTGTAATAGACTAATAAGAAAGTACAAAGAATCTATATATATATATATTATTTATTATATATGTTAGTATATGTAAATATAAACGGCGACATATGATGATAAAGATCATATGATATTTTAATATTTCAGCGTAATGAATTAAACTAGTATTTACAAAGTAATAATTAATATTTCTATCTCAGCTCATAGATAATTTGTATTATATGTATTTATAATTTAGTTTGTTAGGTGCAGTTGTAAAAGGAGATGAAGAAGTCAAACGAAAGTGGGAAGTTTTGTAAATGCTAATTTTAATTTTAAAGCATTATAATTTTAAGAATTCTCTTGCATAAAGGATTAAATGTGAAAAGAAAGATAACACTTACCACCATTCTCGCACTCGTTATCGCCTACTTCTGCTTTATTGGTAAACTCCGATTGTTTGTATTCATCGTTACCACTAAATTGCATCATCTGAAAAGAATTCACTTGAAGAGACGTTTTAGTTGAGTTCGTTTTTTTATGTTTCAATCTACATTTAATAGCAAAGAATAAGGTGAAAAAAAATAAAAAAAATATATTTATTCAAAAACTCGTGCTACTGTGTTAGAAAGAAAGAAAAGAAAGAAGAGAATGGCTTTCATCAGAAGCTGGGGAGATGTGTGCATCTTACATACCTAGTGTTGAAACGCTCTCAAGGATGAAATCGTTTTAGCTAAAAACGGATGGCAAACTTCCTACCTTAAAATTATATATACTAATGCTTTTAGATGTCCGGAGCACAAATAGCAAGATATGCAGGTAGGTTGTCAGATGATCGAAATCCATGACATTTCTTCCGCTACGCATAAAGTATAGTGTTGCAAATTACAAATATAGTTCAGGTTATATGATGATGATCACTAAAGCAAGATAGAAATTCGTTTTGATTGGATACTTGTTTATTTTATATTATTTTACAATAGAAAATTTTAATCTAAAGTAGCAATATCGAAAATTTTATAATCAAAGCCCCCTGAAATTTTGTAAGATGGTTTTTTTGGACGCTTAGCCTTTATATAAAGGATAGAGATCAAGGTAGTTCAAGTGTTCCACCAATTCTTATTAGAAGCGATTCTGTTAGTCCTAATTATCTTATATAGGAAATGAAGGTATAATATCACGCTGGGTGACTTTCTATGTAGCACAAGTGTAGCCAAAGATCTATTTAAAATTTAAAATTTAATATATAATCTAGATATAGTTTAAATCATTTGTATCTTTGCCTTGATATTATAGCAATAAAAAAAAAATAAAAAAATAAAAACTTTTAAGGAGTAATAAAGCCAGACCAATTTGATTTGGTGGTTTTTATTTACCTCCCCCTCTCTCTTAGTAAAAAAAAATTTTTGGGAATACATATTTGATTTTGCGGAAAGCTAATGCAGTGAGGAATTAAGATTAGAAATTGTAAGGATCCGAAAAATTCCGAAGAGAAAATGAACGAACATTAAAGATGAGCAAGTTCAGTCTGATAATTTCCGATTGAAAAAAAATTATAATAAAATATACTTCCATTTTTCACCCCTCCTTTGAAGAAAGGATGTAATGTAAACCACCAAATCAAGTCGGTCTTGCCTAACTAATAAAAATAGCATTTTCTTTGAATAAATGTTTCGAACTTCATGTGAGCAAGAAAAATTAAAAAATCAATCGTTTCACGAAATACTATAAAAATATCAGAGATGCAATCTTTGGAATAAAGTACAGGAATAACGGAAGTTAACACTTAATTTTAGCGAATTAGAGTTTTTATGATTAGCAAATCAATATAAAATTCCAGTACTGTAGGTAAACTAGAGAATGATATCGCATGATATAATTTTTTATTTCATATTTTCACTTCGAAAAATATCGTATATTGGATCTAATTTTTGCCCGACCCTTCTCGTCTTTCATGTCCATTAATTTTCTTTTCAGAATTCTTCAACTTTTGCGTTCCTGTTTCTTAATTCCGCCCGGTATTATACTCTTGACCTAAATTATATATACCTTAATTTTCCTATATAAATTTAGATGGGATGATTCGGAATCATGCGCATGATTGAGGAATCATGCACACACATGAAACCCATCTCTAGAAAAACTTATAAAGTTCAAACTGCAATAATTCTTGAGCAGCCCGCATAAATAAAATTATATATGTCGGATTCGTTATAACTTACTCTTTATCAACTGGAGCGTAGCGGGAGACTCAAAATGATATCAAAATTCTCGTTTTTGATGTATTGCTAATAGAAACATAAAAAACGTACTTTAAATTTTCTGTTCATATTGTAACACATAAGCAACGGCTACGCTTTTGATCATTTTATTAACAATACATCATAACAAGAATTTTGGTGTCTCCTGCTTACGTTCCAGACAATAAAATAGAAAAAAGGGCGTTATTATTTTAAAGAGTACGCTATAACGAATCCGTCAAATATAATTTTATTTGTGTTGGTTGGATGGTTCAAGAGTTATTGCAGTTGAACTTATATGTTTTTACTATTAAATTACCGTCGATCTACAGTATTGATTTTAGGTAACGTTCACACAAAAAATTTGTCCATTCCCAGTAATTTTGACCAATCAAATTTAAGATCAGGTGTCAAAACGAACGTGCTTTTGTTTTCTAAGTTACGTGCAAAATGAAACCAAGAAAACCGTGTTGTAGTTAGGGTTAGGGTTAAAACAATATGTTGCCTATTAGTAAAACGTCACGAGGAAAATTTTAATTAGGCTGCAGAAGGCGGTTTCATAATTAAAAATTAGAGTTATTCTTGTTTTTTTGTAAAAAAGTGGTATTGTTTAGATTTTTACGCCTGAAATTCGATTGGTTAAAATAACAGGGGGCGAACAATTTTTTGTGGGAGAGCTAGGTGCGTCTATCTTTTCTTTGATTCTGACTTAATGCTGGCCGAATCTATGATAATTCCAATCTAATTTAAATAACTTAGCCAAAAGTTCTGGCAACTTACATCAATTATCTCAGTTACCATTTAAAACCTTAACTTATCTTAGTCGGCCCGCCAGCCTGTGAAGGTGTGGGTCGACCCTCGGCCCGCCCGGCTGATGGGCCGGGTCAGCCTGTATCACTACCTACATATCATATGATTAATACTATCCTGGGTAGCTTATACGATATAAACCAAAGAAAGTATGATAATTTTATATTTAAAAAATAAAATTAATCCAATAATTTCTACACTGATTATATAATATTGATTTTTATATAAATTTCTCATCTTTCAGTAAATACATTAAACCTTGACGACGAAGTCACCACATGTACAAGATCTAATTTATTTTCACAGATCATAATAAATCGGATTAAAGTGAAATGAGAGCTTCTATTTGACCCTCTAAAAATCCACTTAAACTGTTTATTATAAAACCTGCTTCTAAACCCTAATCCTAACCCTAAAAAAATGCTAATAAAACGCACCCCAAAAATTTGTATTTTTCGGTGGTTTGTCTATTTTATACTAGCCCTCATTTCATTTTAATCTGCCAACAATTATTAGTTGGAACGGGGTTGCAGTCAACCTATATATGAAATTGTTAGTTACAGTACTGTTAAACTTCTCATTTAGGTTCCATTTATTCATGTCGATTTAGAGATCTATATATTTTTTAAATTGCTCTACACACTTTACAAACTAAGTCAATTGATGAAAACTTATTGCGAATATCTCTATATTGTAACAAAATAATTGAAGAAATTGTCAAGATTAGGTCGTATTGCCTCAAAAGCTTTATGATATACTGTAAGCATTAACATCTATAATTATTAATATCGTTGCCTACGTTTATGATTTTAGTGCGGCAGCGTCGCAGATCTACCTTATTTTAAATGGATTACCGTTACTAATCGATTTGTAAATCAAAAGTCACATTATCGTTATGATATATTATAAGGCTTTACACGATCTGAAAACTATTTTCGAATCTAACCATGCACTTCGTTTCACTACGTTCCTAGTAATTCGTATTCTACGTTGCACAATAAAAAATTGATTCTCTGATAATCATTTTTTTTGTTAATTCCTTTTGTAGTAGTATTCAGTCAATATATTCGTGTAGAATATATGCTAGTTTAAGGAAATATTATAAGAATAATTAATCTAAATAAATGTACTAATCAATATTAAAGATAGGTCGTTTCATAATATATATATATATTAGATGTTTCTGAAATATTGCGCAAAGATGAACGATATAGTAATTTGACAGTAATAATGAATCAACAAATACTCATTTTGTCAATTATTACTTTGTCCTTTAGCAATTTAGTGCTGCCTGTCATTTCTGCCGCTTCTACCACTTCTAACATTCCTGTTATTCATGTCCCTTATAATACTCAACAAGCTTGCCCTCATAAACCTTCCTCCAGCGCAAGTAAGTTTTACTTTATTAAAAAGTATTATAGTGAATAAGATTTATTTAATTGCACAATAAAATTTAAAAAAATATTATTTACTAGACAATAAGCAAAATCCAGGGTATGTGTGTCTATTTGATTTATTTATTAATTTTAATTTGAATATTAATAATTTTAATGAATCATTTTATCAGGGATTTTTTAGCAATAGATTGTGAATTCATCGACGTCTATGACATTCCCGGAGGATTTATAACTACTAAAGCTCCCGCTCATGTAGCATTAGTGAACTATGATGGTGATGTTGTATTTGATGAATATGTACGTCCAACTGCGACAATGAGTCTTTGGAGACCAGGACCTCGTATGCAAGAGATACTTGACAATAATGGTAATTGCTTCCAAAAATTGTTACAATTATTTTATATAATTGCATATTCTAAATATATTTAACATTCAGCACGTAGCTTTTGGGATGTACAGGAAGCAGTAAAAAATATCATAAAAGACAAGATACTTGTTGGCTTTAGTATATTTAATGATTTAATAGTAAGTATTCTATAATTCTTTAATTATATATATACGAATTTTAATTAAGCAATCTTCTAATTATTTAGCCATTACAGATACAACCTCCCTTAAACATGATACGTGATGTTTCACTTTGTAAAGAACTTCGAACTAAAACTCATCCATATGCATTAAAACAATTAGCAAAAAATAAACTTAATAGAACTATTCAGCGCACTAGTTTACATGATCCAGTAAACTTAATTTACAATTTCACTAAAGTTTTATATTAAATAATTCAATAAATTAATCAAGTATATTATTAGGTTGAAGATGCCGTGGCACACATGGATTTGTTTA